CGTAATCCAGTCCAACCCAAAAGCCAGATACCAAAATGACATGATTTTACTCTAGCATTGATTAGCGAATTAGCATATCTTACCAAAATGGTCACAATCCTACTAAGAAGTAGTACGTAGTGAGAAGACAGTGGTTGTGGAATGCTCCATTGCAAAAATACACACATCCAAGGTCATACATTTCTTCCCAGCGGCAGCCATGGTCCTCTGTAATGAGCATGAGAATGATTGACTGTGGAATTTTTGTTCAACGTCTTGTGGAAAGATTCTCTCATGGACAGCTACATCTCTGCCCAAATGGTCATTCAAGATGTTTTTCTCTCCATCGTTTCTCTCTCTGTCTCTCTCTCTCACTCTCACACACAGGATTTGCATGCCAATATAAATGTGCTGTAATGGTGGTGCTTAGAGAATTGAGAACAGAAAGTCCTGAACAGCAACTGGAGCTGATTCTTGTAGAGCGGTCTTGAAATGACCCAGCCAGAGGGAGCCGAACTGTCCGACGCCACCCGTGTGTGATGGTGCATGTGTGTCGGACTGTAGCCTGTGTTTCCAGGCTGGTGCTGAACTGAATGTTCTGCAGAACAGTATTAGAGTCCGTTATGTAATACGATATGTACAGTAGAGACTTCACTCCAACTTCCTGCTCTCTAGCTTTATGAGACAGAACCTGCTCAGTAAAGCAGTTTTCAACATCACTTAGTTTAGCACTCGCTGAAGAAGGGAAGTGAGGATGTGTTGAGTGTTTAGTATGAAATCATCGCTGACCTTTCAGTTCGGTCAGGAGCAGAAAGCAGGTCAGCAAGTTTATGGTCTAAGTTCAGGACTGTTAACCCTTAGAAGTCAGTTGTCTCTTGGACAAAAGCATGATGTAATTTGGTATTATTTCTAGTGTAGAAATTCTGTTGAATTCTGTGCAAATTCTATTGTGATTTGAATTTGTTGAAAGCTTATTACAGTACACAGTCTTGTTTTGCAGAAAGAAAAACATCCTCTGCATTTCTGCAATGTTTTTTCTCAAAACAAATGGAAAAATGTCACAAGTGCAGACTCAAACCTGTACAGAATGTAAATTAAATGTAAATACAGTTCATTGTATGTACAGTATTACCTAATGGATTCTAGTACTGCCACTGATTATGTAATTACTTTTAAATAATTATATAATGAATATTAAATGTGCTGGGGGGAAAAACAATGATAAGACTTCTCTAAGCATTTTTGAGGACCGAGGAACCTTTTTTCTGTTGCTTTCAATGAGAGGCATGCTTCGTGTCCTGTTTTTGCATGCTGGGCGCCTTCTGCATCTTCTGTGCGGAATGTTCCTGAACTGAAAAACTCAGGCAGTGAGTCATGAGCTTTTTTCCCTGTGATAACCATTCAAAATGAAGTACCCTGAATAATTTCACGGACCAAAATATAATAAACAAAACTTGTGTAGCTTGTTTGGACGGGCACGCCACGCTTATTACAGTTAATACTGTGTCACTTTCTAAAAGTGCAGGTGGCAGACATGGCTGCATATGCATATCAAAACCCAGCACAGCTTATTGACAGTTATGACGAGGGCTGGGCAATATCACAATATTTATTGTTACCATGATAAATTATGTCACAATATGCCACAGTGTGTTTTTCTGAGGATATTGTGGATATCATCAGTACACGTCCCTGCTGCATGACTGATTACAAAGAAGCCTAATTAGCCTCGTCAGTTGGACGTATCAAGCACAATGTGTGAAATGTTGAACACAAATCATTGTGTGAAGTCTCTTTGTTAAACTTACTTTTAGATGTCAGGAAAAAACATTGTAATGTATTGTGCCTAGAGAAAACTTCTTAAAGTATCGCAAAATTACATTTTTGGCATATCACTCACACCCACCTTTAGTTACAACACTGTTGATGTTTAGTGACAAGGAGGCATGCAGGCAGAAACGGTGCAGTGTGATCTCCCAAGAATAAATTAGTGCGTTTTTCCACTTTGAAACCCCTCCCATCTGCCCAGTGTTACCCTGCATTCACACCAGCAGCGATGCGACAAGTTGGTCGGAGGTCATTCATTTTCAGTGAAAGCTGGCGACAGGAGGTGGCATGAACGTTGGTGACGCGACAAAGTTGAGCAGAGTTTAAGTTTATGCAAATAAGGAGTGAAGTGACGTGGCGGTTAGCAATAAGAATTGAGCATTGAGCAGCTTAGTACGCACTTAATCTCTGCCACTGTGAAACAGTGCACTCCTTTTTTGGTTTGTAGGTAATTAGTCCTACTAGAGGTTGAATAATGGTGGCGCAAATAGACAGTTATCGCAAAAAACTAAATACCGTTTTCCTTACAAACCGACTGCACAGACACAGGGATTAAATAAAAATAAGCACAGAAGCGATTTCTCACCAGGATTTTTATTTGTAGTGGGAACACATCTAATTTGTGCTTGACATCAGTGAAACCATGGCAACCAACCATGGAGTTTAGAAGCGATCTGCGATTTGGGTGACAACAGGCGAAAAGTCGCTGCCGGTGTGAACACAGGGTTAAAGTGAAGTAATGAGGGAAATGTTCAAAAAATAGTTTTTGCATGTGTGAAGTTAATAGTTTGTTAGATATTAGTTAGTTACCGGCTTCATCACTATGGTTCTGTGTTCTCGAGCAGTCTGTAATTGTGCAGGATTTAACAGATAAACTCTGTGATCATAAATATACCTGTAAAGTGTGTTCATTACAGACTGTTAATTACCTTCTGTATTTAACTCTGTAGCCCTGGCCTTCACTCAGCTGTGCACAGCACTCACACATACACCTCATTCAACAACTGTTCAAACACACACACATACATACATGCATACACACATACACACACAGAGTCTGATCATCACACGCATACACACACGCATACTCACAAGCTCATGCACTCTTCAGATTATGCAGGGACAGATGTTAGAAATTAAGCACATCTGGTTATCTTTTTCCAGGGGTTATTTGCATGAGGACTGTTGGCTGAATTCTGAGACGCTTCTTCCCTCCGTCTCTCTTTTTTCCCTCTGTTTTATCCCCTCTTTGTGTGTGTGGTTTTTTCCTTTAACTTCCATGAAATGAGATGTGTTTGTTTTTGTGTGTGTAACTTGTTGTATAATCCAGTAACAGCTCCGGTATAGATTTCCTGAGAATGGGACTATAAAACTGAGAGAGAGCGTTTGTTCGTGCCCTCTCTTCTGTTTTCGATCTACAACTAAAATATATCATCACTGTCACACAAACATTCTCCACTCTTTAAGTAGTTTTCCTTTTTTTGCATAATTTGAAAAGTTATCTTTTGTATTCTGATTAAATTTCATAATGAATAGACTAATAAAATGGGTAAAATTACTTACCTTGTTACATTTAATTTGCATTACAAGTTAAGAAGATTTTTTCCTTCTTCAGTAAAGTTACCGTTTTGGAGATATTAGGTTTCACTCAGATCATTATCAAATCAAAGCCGGATAGGTCACTTGAGGTCAGCGTTAATCAGAAATTGTAACGTTTTCCTTCTGCAGCATGATGTGTTTCCATCTCTGAGCTAGCTTAGTGATAGCTAGGGATGGAGAGAGGGGGAGGTGAAACATGATATTGGATAAAGAGGAATCCAAATTTGTGCATAATTCAGTGATTAAGTTGTACAGAAAGTTGTTCAGAGTGGTTTGATTTGAAGTGCTTTGTTGTAGAGAAACTCACTGACTTTGTTTTCCTTACAGTGGTAATGATAGGAATCAGGAGTCACAACGTCTGTGCCAATATATTTAACCTATATTTAGCCATTTGCTATAGTTTATGTAAAACAGATAATTTCTGGTCAAACCACTCTGAATGAGGGTTTACATCTTGACCATTTCATTATGCAGAAATGTAGAATGAAGACATTGTAGAGGCGGATAAAATGGCTACACTACCACCGCACTAGAATATGCATCTTGTTCTTTGTTATATTTATCTTAATTTTGTTTAGGAAAAAAGATTCATATTCAGTGTAATGAAGTGTTCAAGAAACTGATTTCTGCAGAACTTTTTCACATTGCGTCTGACACTGCGTTTGGGGTCTGTTTTAATTTTTGTCCGTATAAAATTATGTTGGGCTTTCATTTCAGCATCAGCATTGATGGCAAAATGTTAATATCTGTAGGGTCCTGCAAAAGTGACTATATGATGAATATCCACCCTCATGCTGCTCCCTTCCATTTGGCAGTAGCATTAAGTGTATTGCCAAGTATTATTAAAAGAATTCTGATCTTGGCTTCCTGTTAAGTGTAGCTAAAGGGATTATACAGTGTGATTGCTTTCACTAGAATGTGGGTACACTGCTTTTGGCAGTTGTCTTGCAGGGGCAATAAATGAGGTCACATACATTAATGATGGTGCATGTGCATGCATGTGTTTGTGTTCCCATTTTAGAGACTGCACCTTTTTACTTTTTTCTCTGAGCTTCAGAAGCTGTGATTGGAGACTAAAACGTTTACTCATCATCTCTTTCCGCTGGCAAAAACAAAGGACCCTTCGGAGCGCGAGTCTGAAAGATTGTAGCTAATGTGATTAGACACAACGAGTATCAGGCTGCTGAGCGCAGACATGATGAGAACCATGACTACCTTCTTCTGAAAGATTCACTTTTCATGCTGATAGAAATCATTGACCATTAAATGAGCAGGGCCATCACTTTTCTTGTAAAATAAAAAAAACAAACGGGTTTGAGGTGAAAGTAGGGGTTGGAGTCTCTAGGCACCTCGTAATTCAGTTTGATTTCAATTCAGGGTGTCAAGATGTGACTATAAAATGATTCTTGATGCATCTTGATGCATCTCCATTCTTAATCTATGTAGATTTATTATAATACAAACACTGTATGACCAAACGTATGAGGACACACCTCCCTATTATTGAGTTCAGGTGTTTCAGCCACACTCATTGCTGACAGGTGTATATAATCAAGCACATAGCCATGCAATCTCCATAGACAAGCACTGGCAGTAGAATGGGTCCTATTGAAGAACTTGGTGATTTTAAACTCATAGGATGCCACCTTTGCTACAAATCAGTTTGCAGTTCCTGCCCTGCTAGATCTGCCCTGGTCAACTGTAAGTGCCATTATTGTGAAGTGGAAACATCTAGGCACAACATGAAATGGTAGACAACACAAACTCAGAGCGGAGCAGCTGAGTGCTGAAGCATGTAGCGTGTAAAAAATCATCTGGACTGTATTGCGTCTCTCACTGTAGAGTTGCAAACTGCTTCTGGAAAAATCAGCACAAAAACTGTGTCGAGAGCTTCATGAAATGTTTCCATGGCGGAGCAGCTGCACACAAGCCTAAGATCACTATACACAGTGCCAAGCATCTGCTGGACTGGTATGAAGCATTTTACCACTGACATCTGGAGCAGTATAAATGTGTTCTCTGGAGTGATGAATCATGCTTCACTCTGGCAGTCTGGTAGATGAATCTGGGTTTGGTGGATACCTGGAGAAAACTACTGACCACAATGCATAATGCCACCTGTTTGGTGGAGGAGGGATAACGGTCAGGAGCAGTTTTTCAGGATTTGGGCTAAAGCCCTTAGTTTCAGTTAAGGGTAACGTTAATGCTACAACATACACAGACATTTTAGACAATTATGTTCTCCCAACTTTAAGGCAGACTGCCACAGACATGTGGCAGTCTGAGTGAGTTACAAAGCCACATTTGCATGTTTTATGTTTTTTCAGCTATAGATGATTGTGGGAAAGCATTAGGTATTAATCTTTGAAAATTTGACAAATCATTTGAGCCATCAGAACGCTTAAGCTGCAAGTTTACTAACTTTTTTACAAATCTAGTAACACAGTATTTCTTGCATTATCCTTGAACAGTCTTGTGCCCAAGAAGCTTCGAGCATTATTAGCTTATTTGTTGGTTTCTGTTAAATAACTTATTTTTCTAATTTATAAATATAATTCTGTTTACAAAATGTCATTTTTTATTATAGCATACGTTGATGGATGCATTTTTTATGTTTTTGTTACTCTCACCATGATGATGTTTTGTTCTCAGGTTTACTAGTTCAGCTTATCGCCATGCATGCTAACAGAATGGCAAATATGCATTAAACCATTAGTCCTTAAAAATGGGTGATTCCAGTCTTATCTAAGCCATTTATTTGTTACTGTATGAAACAGTTGATTTAATATAATGAAATTGTTTTAATTGATGCAAATACATTAAAATATTTGATTCACGTTAAATGATCTAATTTAAGATTGAGCAGAACTTGAAAAAATAGAGTATTGCCATCTTAATGGAAGCCTATTATGATTATTGGGCTGTTTAGGTTTACCTAACTTGTTGCCGAATTGTTGATCCCTGTAGGTTAGAAAGTAACTGTAACTTATAAAGTTATTGAAACATGAACCTGATAAGTAACTTAATTTTTTTTAAAGCACTAAGTTCGCTTGACAAGCCAACTAATTTAAGTTTTGCGGTGTGTAGTGGGTGTCGGGTCAGTGACATTAACAGTGATCAGAGACTTGCTTTTTACACCCAGTGTGTTGACAGATTTATAACACATTCTCTGTTTTTGTATGTGTGTGTGTAGGTGAGTTTCTGGGTGGTGCGGGAGATTCTTCACGCTCAGACTCTGAAGATCAGAGCGGAGGTTTTAAGTCACTACATCAGAACAGCCAAGGTACCATATACTTTTTTACACTACATGCTACGTATCGTCGCTGTCCAAAGAAAACCATGTATCTCCATTTTTGTTGATTTTTAGTTTTCTATATCATTTCAACACACCAGCTGTCCTTTACATTGTGTACAGATTTCATGCTGCATGGACCAATAGAAATGCTCTGAAATCACTTAATAAAACCTCTTTACATTGACTTACATTCAATGTTTTTGCTTTCTCCTGTAAAGTTACTATTTTGGAGATACTTAATATTCTTTGGACAGCGACGATATATAACTACGTACCACATACATAACTATAAACAGATGTCAGACAGTTTTTAACATTGCTACTGTGAGGTTTACTCTCACCTTTACGCAGCAAACGCAAATAAATAACACAAAAATGCAAAATATTCATGCATGTGTATATTTTTGCACCATTATGCACACTGGGTGTGATCTATGCAGTTTTTATTTTTTTTATTTCATTGTTTTGTTTGCCCCATACAAGAAACGATATGAGCAGACTGTGTTTAAGTGACAAATATCATTTTCTCTTCACAAAACGGCCCCATGGTGGCACTAAGCAGGTTACTCTTCATTTTGGAAAAGTGAAAGGAGCACATGGAGTTACGCTCCTTCATTCAGCAGGTGAAGCTTTGAGTGCTCTCATGTATAGCTCTAATATCCATAACCCATTTTGAGCTGCTTTTGGAGATTTTAGCAGATCACATGACAAATAAGATGCCAAACTATCAAGCTTTTGACATTTGTCAAAAAATATGGGTTGCTGTTCACTAGCCGATTTGTCAAGCTTGGTTGTTGCTGTGCCAATCACAGCAGTGGCTGAGTGAGTTCATGCTGCGAATAAAATAATGGAATACAATAACATTACGTTTTCATCTGAAATATCAATCATACATGTGTTCAATGTAATCTATGGATTTTGAATAAAATGCTCAAATAAATTGCGCTTGGTGTGTGAAGGTCTGAATATCTCTCTCTCTCTCTCTCCTCTCTCTCTCTCTCTCTCTCTCTCTCTCTCTCTGTCTCTGTCTCTCTCTCTCTGTCTCTCTGTCTCTGTCTCTGATCGTACAGAAACTGTGTGACATGAATAATCTCCATGCAGTGATGGCTGTGGTGTCAGGTCTGCAGAGCGCTCCTATCTTCAGACTCACCAAGACATGGGCTGTGAGTACCTGTTGGTGTTTCTGTTCTGTTACACGTGTAGCAAATGACATCATATCATTGTTTTGAGTTGTAACTAAGGTAGCTAAAGTAGTTAGCCTACTTACAGCTACACTTCCTTCTTAACCTTTTAAGGCAAACACAAGAAAGTGGCTATTTCAGCCGTTTTATCTGCTCTTTTTAATTAATAATTCGTTTCTGAATGCTGCTGTTGCCTTAATTTTATAAGTAAAAATCTAACAAACGCTTTATCATTATTCTGATTAAACAAATCAATAATAAGTGTTTACTTTTTTCAGTACTCAAATACTGACACTTGGAATCATTAACCAATTATTTAAGTACTTTTCAACATCCTTATTAGATTAAAAATTAAATTAAACATTTCTGTTTAACTTCCTGCTGCATGCTGTTGTAGGTAGCACAATTATCTACTTGCAGTATCTCACTAAATAACGGCTTAAAGCGGTAGTTAGGTAGAAAAACTCAATTATGCATTTTTCCCTTCACACCAAATATAGTCATCTATGTTATGTGTCTGTAAGCAAGTCTGAGATTACTTAACAATTAGATAACACAATATGACACAGTTTGAGGCAGTTGTGTGTGATTTGCACATGAAGTTTTCCCATTGCTTTTTGGATGGTGTAAGCTTCCATTATTCTTTAGCTACATTACCCCATAGCTCTGATACAAATCTAATGAAACAAACAATTTACAATTGGACTACCAAACAAGAAGAAGCAGACTTATGTCTTGATTGGCTGATCACATTTTTTTTTCCTGAATTATCTCTTTAAATATGCCCAATAGTAGGCCTGTCACAATCATGGACATTTTAGCGGACAGCTGTCATACTTCATGTTCTATTTAAACTAAAGTTCTTACAGCTGTGGTGATAGCACAGTAGGGTCACCTCAACAAAGTCCTCATAACGTTATAATTTAAAAAATAGTGCTTAACGGTCATGTCATAATGCTTGGTGAAATTATCATCATCTAGAAGAATGAAGAATGATCTCGGTTGTATTTCTCAGTTTTAAAGGCTTCAGCTGTGCCTTTAAGACTGATATATGTAAATGTTTCCCTGTGTTTTGCCTCATTCAAATAGCAATACGGGCTCAAACACTTGCTATAGTTTCAGTTTTTTCAGCTTAGTTTCCATATATGGACTGGAGAGTGAATGGTACACTTTGAAATGTTAACCATGTTTATTTATGACATCAAACTGTTTTATGTATTTACTATTTTTATACTGTTTTATTGATGTGGATCTTACCCCATACAGCCCTTGTTGTTGATCTACAGCCTTTTGCCAAATACTGCTATTACCAGTAGTTAAATGTGAAGTAGCTCATAGACAAAGCTTTATTTTAGGGAAACCGCACTACTCATCTTTATTTATATCTGACAATGAAAAATAAAAAATCGCAAGCTGCAGCCGCCATCTTATTACCATCTGCCGGTTATGTTTGTGTCTGACTACACTGGTGCAGTTCTGACATCTTTAAATCAACTCGTCCTCCATGCTGAGCAGAGAAGCAGGAAATGGAGAGTGCAGAGCAGAGCGTTTTAGATTCAGGGCATCGAACACAAGGGGAACAGACACATACTTGGTTATTGATGGCTGCTGGCAATGTGAATGACATGATGAATTACAATAAAACCGTCAAGTTGTTGTCTTTTTTTTTTTGACACCCACATGTGTTATGGAAGTGTTGTAGCTGTTTCTGTCTAACAGATCCTACTGGTCTTGTGTGGTGAGTCCTTAGGCTACCATGCAGTCTTAATACATTTCCAGACTCATTTAAATGGAGATTTACAGTACTTTAATAGTGATGAAAGGACAAACTACTATTGGAGTCAAGGTATCGTCTTCTGTTCTTTAAAGTGGCTTTTTGTGCCTGCTAACGAGTCTCTTATGTTGCAGAGGAACCATAATCCCGGCTTTGTAAAGGCCGGCATTGAGGCAGTGCTGCTGTTAGGCCTTCCAGAATCTTCTGAATGTTTCCACTGTAAAAGCTTGCTATAAAAGCTTGCTATAAAACAGACACCTGCTCTTTCTCTTCTGTATCACTGTGTAGTCTGCATCTTTCTCTCTCCTGTTCACTCACTCATGTCTACTCAGACATCTGACTCTGACATTAACCCCTATATCCCCTCTCTCAGGTCTCTTCTCTGAGAACTGCTCCCCTCCAAAAGCCCCAAACAGCATTCCTACAGCATTACTTCACTAGGATCGTCTTTGCTCTTGTTGTTAAATGCGTTTCTTCCTTGTTTGCTTTCTTTACCTCTCACACTAGAGTATCTTCACCGCAGCTGTGCTCTGTCCTTTTAACACTATTCAAATAAGAGTCCATCCAAGTATAACAGTGTATGGATTGAAACATTACTCACAAAGTTCAGTGTAAATTAAATGCAAATTAGTCAACAGTGCAAACTGTACAACACATTAACACGTTCCAATCTGTGATGCGCTGTGTATTTTTCTACCATAGAGACTGACTTGGCTGCAACTTATAAATAAAATAAAACGAAATAATTTAGGATTATGAAAAAGGCACTGCACTTCCATAAGACAGAATCTGAGTCTCAGGACGCTCAGACAGCAGTTCACTTGCTAAGTGTACTGTATATACAGTGTGTGATTTTTGTGCTTTAGTTTAATTTTTTTAAACAGGGGTGGTCAGGGATTTTTGTGACCACATAACATTTTTAACATGAATCACAAAAGGTCCCTGACAGCAGAGATGAAAGCAGCTGCGTTGGTTCCTCTCCTGTTTGTTTATGATTCATGTTAGTAACGCATGCAATCTAAACTTTTGTAATAGGCCGTACTAGAGCTCGAACAAGGCATGTTTTTGTCTGACAACAAATGCAGCTTTAAATAAGTGGCTTTAATTTCGCTGTCCTCCTGTGAACTGATCACTTGGGAGAAATGTTAATATCAGGTATGAATAAGGCCGTAGACCAGGGGTGTCAAACTCAACCAGTAAAAAGGCCATATTAAAAAATCTCATCAAATCTGTGGGCCAGATTAAAAAACATTTTTATTTCATTTGATCATAATGTTGTGCTACAGCCCGAACTGGCCATTTTTTTATTCAAAGTATCAAAAACGTCAACAGTAAAATACAGGCTCTTGTAGTAGACCTTGAAATATTACATAACCGCTTGAAATATGCAAAATTTAAATGTGCCCAGGCGCTCAGTCTTTTAAACCTACCTATTTGCTTGAACTAGACACCTGGTGTCTTTTCTTTGCTGCAAGTTCATTAAGACTTGGGCTCAATTTCTGAGCTGCTGAGCTAATGTTATGTGTTTATGTTGGTTAAACTGCAGCTGAAATACATTTTGGTGATGTGACTGGTGTGGATTTGTGCAGAATTTGTAGAATTGAGGTGTAACCGTGGTCCCATAGACTGTTGTTGGGGCAGGAAAGTCGGAGCACATGACGTTGCAGTGCATGCTAGGGACTGTAGTGCAGCACATTGTGAAACGGGCTAATATTAATAGAAAATTAAAATACTTTTGCAGGTCGGATAGTATTGTGTGGCGGGCCTTGTGTTTGATGGTAAATTTAGGGCTATTGTGTGCATGTAAACATAGCAATTGTGTCTCAGCTTGAGACCTTGAGGCTGCAAAGTATGTTCTGTTAAATCATTAGCTAATAAACACATCCTTCTTGAGTTAAATTGGGGAATATTTGTCAAAACAAGATAGTTATAAATATCAGATATCTCAAGCTGAAAGTTCAAGTCTGATAGTAAGCCTGACTATGGGACTTAAGTTGGGAAACACTGATCTAAGGGATTGCACACATTGAATAAAATAGAATGGCCTTACTATAAACCCTAAGCCTCTCTCTGCCAATCTGTCTCCCAGCTGCTGAGTCGTAAGGACAAGGCTACGTTTGAGAGGCTGGAGTATCTGATGTCTAAAGAAGACAACTACAAGAGACTGAGAGACTACATCAGCAGCCAAAGCATGACCTCCTGCATACCATATCTAGGTTTGTCTGCCTTTTTTTATTCATCTTTGTCTCTTTTCCTCATCTGTGTTTAGCCTTCTCTCACACTGTTGCATCTTCCTGGACAAACACAGTACATGAACCTTCCATTTACCAGACTCAGATTGGATCTCTTAGGGACTCCTCTTTGAAGATGCCCTTGTAAATGACCCATGAAGTACCTTCTCTTACAAAACCTTTCTCTACATATCGTCTTATGTTTGCGTTTTACCGCTTTTTTGTTCACGTAAGCAAGGGTAAAGTAGTTTGTTTAAATTGGTTAGCTATAAAATGCCCAGGTTTAAACGCTAGCCACTGGGCTTCTTCTGTTTTTCTCTTGAAGGGCTTTAGCAGTGCGTTCATTATTAAAGGCACTGCAAGTTTATTAAACGCTGTCAGGTTTCTGGGCTTGCTGTGGGTTCAGTTAAACTATGTTGAGATTGTTGGGATCACGGTCAAAGCATTAATCCAAACCACACAATGACGTACATTCAAAAGAGGTGATTGCATGTTTTTCCAGTGCTGCTCACACATGGTCATATTTACTATGTGTTGAGTCTGTTTTTAGTGCTTGTGCATGATTTTGCGTTGGTGTGTAAGAATGAGCTGTGATTTTGCCTTGTGCTCCCTTTTCTCTTGTAAACCCCTCATCACTACTGTGCTTACTATTTGGGAAGTGTGTGGGTGGGTGTGTATGTGGGTGTGGGTTCTCACTAGGGGTGTAAATCTCTGAACTCACGATTCTTTATGACACCATTCACTGTATTATGAAATCTCAGATTGGACTTCAGTTGGATTATTTTCTATTATTTTCTATTTTCATATTCTAACCGTGCTGATATTTCGCCATAACATTACGGGTTTTTTTACGAACACTGTATCACTCCGCTAAGACACCGTTGCTAAGCAACGAGGTTGACAGCTGTAAGAGACGCTCAAGCCATTTGAACATTTTTACTTCTTACTCTGCCACAAATAAAAAATGGATATTTTTAAATAACATACATTTTATATATATATATATATATATATATATATATATTATTATTTTTTTTTATATTTTTTTTTTTATTTTTTTTTATGTATATATATATATACATATATTTTGTTTATGTATATATATATATATATACACACACACACACATACAGCCTCTGAAGATGAGACAACACTGAGCAGCGTTTCAGTCAGTAGCAGTGACAGAAGAACAGCTAAACAAGCTGGAATTAGCCAGAAATTAACCGAATACCATTCGCCAAACGTGTAGTCTCATCTTCAGAGTCTGACCAAATCGAGTGACTGAGCCATAAAACTGACGTAATAAAGAACAAAAGCTTGCTCAGTGGTAATGACGGTTTTGGAATTTAGCGTAAGTAGCTGGGGTGTGAACTGCCGGCTGTGCAGCGAGTAAGCGGAGTTCGTTACTCTGACGTAGCAACAAGCTGCTTGTTAAGGAACTGTAATTTGGCGAAGGGAATTGTTAACATTAAAACATTGAGTGTCACGTTCACAGACCGATTTATTAATTTCTTACTTTATTCATTTAACTGTTGTATAAAAGCAATAGAACACTTGAGGTTGTGTGTTATTGCATATAACATCACGGCTGTGATGATCTACAGTGCTGTGATGTTATTTTGTGATAACACACTCCCTCTCGTGTTCTATTGCTAAATATACACAAAAGAGAGGAATTACATAGACAATAGAATTCTATTTTAAAAACAGCTGTATATTTATATTTCACTGTGAAATGAAGTGAAATAATGGCACAAGAAACCTGGATTTGGTACTTTTTTATGTTATTTTTCACTGCTTATCTTACAGTATGTCACTTTTAGTTTATCTTACAGTATATTACTACCACATTTCTATCTTAGTTGAAATTCTTGTACTGCCATGCTGTGGTATCCCAAAAAAGGCAAATGTCAGATAGAAATAGTCTAAATCAAAACTTTGATTCAGGGCAAGAAATTACAGAAATCACCAAAAAAAAATTTAAAAATCTTTTAGTAGTTAAATAAAAATAACAGTGTATTACTGCTTTTCTTATCATTTACTAGCTATTTTATTTTTCAAGTTACAACTTCTCCTATTTACTCAAAAGCCATACTGCCCCGTATATGTATAGAGTATATTAAATTCATTCATAATGAATGAGCCTAATAACATTTTGACTTTGTACATGAACAACTGTATTGTGTATATAATTGATTTTTGATTTCATGTGAAAATAGGGAAAATAATGCTAATATCATCATAATCAGGCATGGAATGTTGTCTCTTGTAACATCCCAATATTGATGCAGTCCAATCACCACTTTCAGATCAGCGCATCACAATAAGTTGGTGCAATTTTACCCTCCCGTTCTCACCCTCACCATGTTTGCCAGTACTCTGTGCAAATAGTGTTATTTGTTTCGCTTTGGTAATAAGGAGAACAAAAAAGTCTCGGTGAGTTATGCCCCACTCTCGTCTCTTATCACATCCCACAAGCACAGAGAGACTAGCCCCTCTACCCAACTGCTGTACAAACGTGGCTCATGCAGAAGTAGCTACAGACGGGGATTTTGTTCTTTTTTTGTAGTTTTTTTTAAGCTGGCAGCACAAACTGTGTCTTAAGTGAGCTAGAGCAAAGCACCAGCAGGAACAGCTCGGATGAGAGGAGCTCGGAAAACAGGCCATCCATCATGTTCTCGGTGTTTGTGTGTGTTTGCATGTTTTTCAGCTCTATTTTTTGTTGTGTGATTCTTTAGAGTCAGAGTGGTTTTTGAAGGTTTGTGATGTACTGTTTTTAAAGGAAGAAAGCATCTGCTGTCTGATCACTTTTTGGCAGCTTCCTCTTCCTCACCACACCACACACACACGCGCACACATACACGTACACATACACATATACATAAACACACACACACACACACACACACACATACAGACACAGACCCACTGTTTTTAATATGATGTGTTGACAAGCACTATTTATTTTCAGCACTGTTGGCAAAGCTCATGTCTTCAGTTCAAGAGAGGAAGAAAGGAGCACTGTGCTTGTTTAGAGAGTTTGCTATAATTGTTTGCAGATCTACATCTTATTCGTAGTATTCAGATGATGTCATGCAATCGCGCCGCCACCATTTTGGTAGGCAACCTCAAGTTCATTTGGGAGCGCAGTGGTGGTGTGTTATGTACAGAGCCCTGCTGGTGACATTCCGTATAAATGGAAATAATGCATAGCCACGCCATATTAATGTGTGGGAACAAGATCCTATTGCGTAGGAACGAGATCCTAATCCTAATAAGATAATTAAGCCTTGACCACAGCTTAATAAGGCATGATCTCGTGGCCACGACTTAAGTATCTTATTCCCATACCTTACCAAGTCGTGGCCATGCATTAGGGTCTTGTTCCTTGCATTAATATGGCGTGGCCATGCATTATTTTTATTTTTGCAGGATGTCACCAGCAGGGCTCCGTAGTTATGAGATAACAAAGCCATGACCAATCCAGCAAAGGCAGTAGTTTTTTTTTCTTTCTTTTTTTTTCTCGAAACTCTCAGTTTCATCCTGTATATTCGTACATTTTATATTTAAGTGATTTGGTTTGATTTGCTGCTGTAGTGATAAGAATTTAAACTGAAATCTAAATGGTTGAGATTCCCCTCTGCGTTATTATTGGCACATTCCAAATCACTAAATACTATGCAAGAAATAGCGCGTGTACTATTACAAGTGCACTTATTGGTGTAGTAGATAAAGTATAGAAGTGTGTAATTTGGTACATAGTGTTAGATCAGCCAGTGAGGCAAGTGCAGCAGTCCAGCAACTCCAGTGGCTGATTATAGGTTTGCTGTGCTGCTCAAAAGCTGTGAATTAAACATTTCCAATTGAAAGTTTAAGGTATATTATGGTTAAGGATGTGTTTATGTAAGTGCATTTATTGAGGTAAGCTGATGTTGGCTTCGTATTCGGCAGCTTCTTTTTTAAAATTTGTTCTATGTTTAAGGCACCATAATGTAACTGCAGCAATATTAATGGTGGAACAGAAAATTTAAATAAGATGGCGAATAAGAAGCCACCTTCAGCTGAATTTGTGTGTGTGTGTGTGTGTGTGTGCGTGTGTGTGTGTGTGTGTATCTGTGTATGAGTTTTTTATTTAAGAGCTTTGACAGTTTTTTTTGTTAAATCTTATGAGTTGAGATTTTCTGAACTCTGGAGATATGCAGGCTTTATGGGTCCATTCCACCAATGAAGCCAGTGTTCTCCTCATTGCATTTTCTGGAGACGGCATCTGAAGGTTCCATCTATTGTTGCTTGTTGTTGTGGTCATTCTGGTCTATTTCTTTGCCATGGGTTTTTTTTTCTGCCTGCTGTTTTGTAGCTGCAGCAACAGTGACAAGATGAGCTGTTTCAAAGGACAGGCAGAGGTACTGCTTGTCTACCAAAATTGCAATCTGGTGTTCTCTGGTGATGTAATTGAACACTGAATACTGCACTGTTTCCTCTCCCTTTGTTTCCTTTTAACTTTAGCTCATGCTCTCTAACTCTCTTCCTAACTTTCTTGCTTTCTCTCTCTCTCTCTCTCTGTTTTACACGTGTGTGTGATGCTTATTCCCCCTTCTGTCAGTCTCTGTCTAAGTCTCTGTCTAAGTGTCTGTCTGTGTGTTGCATAAGACTTGTGAGCTCATTCATCTGAGATGAGCAAAGGATCACAAACAGATTTGACACAGAAAAAGCCTGAACATCTAGGACATATGTGGAGCGATGGCAATAAATCGATTAGAATTGATTAATTATCAGTTAAATGTATGTTCTCAGTAAATTAGCAGTGTTGGAAATTTCTGTCGTGATGCATATTTTATAGGAGACATGCCACACAAAACGGAAAACAAAGCTGCATTTCCGATCCGAGAGTCTCTGTATTTTGGCGTTTTTCCTTTTTACAGAAACATTTGATTCTACAAGCTGTCAGTATTTGCTGCTTGCAGTAGTGTCATAACAAACAAAGC